GCCAAACAATCAAAATTGCTCAAAAATGCTTACATAACGTACGACATTATGTATATCATTGGATTCGTCTTTTTACGCTCGTTATGGTAAACCAAAAAATTTGTATAGTTCCATTTGAAAAACCAAAGTTGCCTTAAATATGTCGTAAAATACAAGTGATAAAATAGAATGAATACACGTAACAATTAGCTCCATTACCACATGCACTTATGGAAAAACTGCATTGCAGTAACTTCCACCGTTCAAAGGTTATAGGAGGTGCTAAAGTTACGTCACTCACCCCGTGTGTGTGTGTGTTTGTTTGTTTGTATGTGTGTGTTTGTTTGTTTGTATGTGTGTGTTTGTTTGTTTGTTTGTTTGTTTGTTTGTTTGTTTGTTTGTTTGTTTGTTTGTTTGTTTGTTNGTGTGTGTGTGTGTGTGTGTGTGTGTGTGTGTGTCTAACATAAAATGCATTTAACAAAATATTTTTATATTTAATGAATACTTTATGGTTTAAAATTAAACTGGTGATGTTACAGAATGGCACAGACTTTCTGGTACTAGAAAGTTACCTAATTTCTTTGGTCGATGCTAGCTTTTGGATCGGGCCCCATCCTCTTTCCTGTTGCCATCAATCGCCGCCCAAACTTTTTTGTTTTTTTGTTTTACATTTGCTCAATTTTTAGGTTTTATAATGGCAGAAACGAATAATTACTTTAAGCATATTACAGAAATTGTGGTTGAAAATTTGGAGCCATTTTTATGAAAAGCATTACTGTACTAATTTTTAAGCATGACTGTAAATTTGTAGCTCCTTTTCACAGAAATCTTTTGAGTTTTCGAAAAACTTTATTAGAAGTCATTTGAAGCGCTTCCACTCACAAATGCAATAGTATACATAAATTGCTAAACATGTGCATATTAATGGCATGAGAGATATTACAAAACAATTACATTTTTGTAATTTTTTAAATAACAAAAGAAAACAGCACAATTAATTATGGCATCTTAATCCTTTCAATTAGCACTATCGATAAAAAAGTTTGAAGAAAAAACATGAAGCCATTTTTCAGAAAATGGCATTTAAGAATTTCTGAAAATGCGGCATTTTGCGCTCATTTTTACAGAAAATATTTGAGTTTTTGAGAAACTTTATTTAAAGCACATTTACTCATAAAGCAATAATGTGAACGAATTGCTGCTAATGCAAATAGAGTCGACGTGAGAGACAAGTCAAAAAATTAAATTTTTGTAACAACAAAGTATAGAGCCATATGGCATTGATGTCATCTCAGAGTGCATTTATCACTCTCCCTACCAAAACTTAACAGAAGAAATTTTGAGCGGTATTTGACAAAATACTGTTATTTAATTTTTTTATAATTGCACATATTGCACGCAATCTACTAAAATGTTCAAAAAATGCATATGATCTTAATGAAAAACTAATTAAGACCAACAAATTTCATTTGAAGGAAAAATCTCCATAATTTTGTATATGCAGGAAGTCACCAAAAAACTTTTGTAATGATCGAAAATCAGAATTAACAGTGAAAATCGGACCTATGCCACCTTTTTAAGTAACCATTATAAGACCAAATAAATTAATATATTTGTTCAGAAAGAAAAATTAACCCAGAAATAAAAAAGTAGTTGAATTGTGTAAATTGGGTGCTTTTTATTTCTGAAGAACTATATTAATTTCCTTTGCAAATAATAAATAATTTACATGTTTCTGAAGTGTTTCTATGTTTCTGCAATGCAAACTTTTGCCTAGAAAGCATTTTTTCAAACCAACTTTTGAATGCTATTACGGCTCAACCGTTTGGAATATCCTCCTAAATTATTAGACAAACTATGCTTAAAATTATCTTAAGAACTTATTAGTGAAATTTCGACATTTTCTCCCCAGACACCCTGAACATTATTTTAAGTATACTGCACCATAATATTAAGTATAATCCCACGATTCCTGAACATTATTTTAAGAATACTGCACATTATGGAAGCTACCTCTGCCATAGATTTCCTGAAAAGTGAAACCTACATTTCATACATGAATTCTAGAGTATGTAACATTTCACATTTCATACATGAATTCTGGAGTAACTGTACTTACACGGTTTACTGGAAAGTCAGCTCTATTCCTTGAGATTTCTTCAGAAATTGCTACACAACAGCAAGTATAACATAGTCATGAACAACAGTTTACAAAGTAACTGCTTTACAATTGACATCACTGTCAGTGAAGATAGTCTTTCGGGGCGCATGGTTGATCAGTAGTGAGATTTCCCTTTCCTCAAGGTGGAAAATTATTGTTTAAACCTGAAGTTGTGCTTGTTGAAGTTAAAATTAGACATGCCAATTTGTATTTTTCTGGCATGGCCTACATCTTCCCTCTCGTTCATGATATTTACAATCTTTACTAACAGATTTCCTTTAAAAATCTTGATCTTCAGACAAGTACACAACACTCAATTCATTTTTAAGGTGTTGTATCAAAGTTTGAACCTTATGATTTCAAAAGCTTTGAAAAAGATTATCAGAAAAAGATGCTTTATACTCCATAAATTTTGAAACATCAAGAAGGGCAATAAAACCTAAACTTTCAAAATCGGAAAATTTATTTCTTATCTGAATGAGTACATTGTCGAATATCTTTTTGAAAATTCTTCTGGACGTGACTTTCCTTGGTTCGCTAGTTTTCCTTTTCTTTTGTCCAAGTTCATTTATCAACTCAGAAGAAATATTTTGCCCAATGCTTTGGAATTCTCTTCTGACTTCCTCAACACATTCCATAGTTTGTAGCACTTCAGAATGGCAGTATCCACAATCCATAGCTTTGTCTTGAAATATATTGAAAAGAATGTCAATATGTCCATAAATTATTGAGAATGTTTCAAGGAGGAAGACAGAAGAACTGTCTCAAAAGTAAAGAAAACCTTGTGCCTTGACCAGTGTTGTCGGTTAGCAATCAGCATTGTTTTCTGGATCTGTCCGATGCTAAAGAATAATATTACATTATTCCATTGATCTTGTACAGTGTTCACAAGTCAGGAGTTGAAGTTCCAGCGTGTTGGTGCCAGTTGGGTAGCTTTCTGTTCATAAAAGAACGTAAAGCTTCCATTCTCTTTGTTGAATGTGAAAAGAAACTAGAGAAGCTGGACAACGCCTGGAAGAAAAGTCTACACTTGTCAATGCACATTGCTGCCACATTGCTGCAATACTAAATTCAGAATGTGACAGTAACAATGCACAAATAATGCCTGTGGAAACGCCTCTTTCACTTTAGCTTGAAGACCCCCTAAATGGCCAGACATTATGGCCACTGCATCATTGGCCTTAGCAACAAGTCTATCACCTATATTAAAATCATTCACGATTGAGACAACATGGTTATACAACATACCATCAGATCTATGTGCGCTGATGTCTGTAAAACGATGTTCTTTTTTGAACTTCTGACGTCTGATGTCCTTTCTTGAACTTCACCAGATCTGTACACATGACGCATAATGGTTGAGAGCTGTGATTTATCAAGTCTGAACTCTCGTCTAGAAGAATGTCTATAAAATTGACAAACACAAGCTCCCTTGTAGTTGTACCATAACTCCTCTTACAACTTCGATTAAATCATTCTGGATAGCATATGAAGTACCCCTGAAAAATGTTGCATTTTCAAATGATAATTTAGAAGTTGGTCATATGTGATGAGTAAATCTAATGTTTCTATGTAGTTTTATTTCTTTATTAAACAATGTGTCTGATTTATTGCGACCCTGAAATACTGTTCTTGCTTTCCTTAGTAGCAGACAACATCAATAGTATCAGTCTTCTTAGTATCGGTCTGTGCTTCTTTACTATTTTGTTGTGTTTCAAAATTTGTAAAGCCTTCTAAGCATTTAGTTAAAAGTCAACTCGTATATATTACAGAAATTACACATTGCAAATGCACAAAATATATGATTTCTTCTCTTTTCATGCTTGTCTAAAGAACTAGCAAGGTGAACTATATTGTCGAATCCTTCTTTTGACCAAATGCCACACTTATCACCGCTAAAAAGAAGACGGCCTGCAAAAACGTTTGTTCAATATAGAGCCAGTCTAATTTAGGGCAACCCTAGAGAATTGAAGCTTATGAAAGATCAGAAGACTTCTCTGCAATATTTTGCGGTGCCTACCGATCATGCAGCTGCGCATCCTCCCATTTCCCCACCCTTGAAACATGAGAAGGAGAAGGTTATTGAAGTTAGCATGCGGTGCCTGCCCTGGACTAGCGAATTCTCTGGGCAGCATTGATAACTGTTTGAAACTTCTCCCTCTAACGTACTTCATAACGCAGACGGATGTGAAAGACTGGCTCCAGGGAGCACAACTTATTTATCGCATCTGTTGTAAAGACGTACAAAATCTCAATAACTTTTTAGGGGATTACCATACTGATGAAACATTTCTTATATACTTCAAATTAATAGGTATACCGCCAGTATATGTGGTGTATCCTAGAATACACCACTGATTTACACCCACAGCCACATACATAACACACACACACACACACAGTGTGAGTAACTGACGGAACAGACTGAACCAAACAAAATTGGTAGAAGAGCACATATGTGTGTCAAGCTGTAAGCAAGGCAAATATTTTGTGAAAAAATGATATACTACATCATCAAGACAGTATCTGTACACCAGCCAATGATATTTTCATTGCAGTTCCCTCTGGATTTTGTGTAATTTGCTGCAGAGAGAGTGTTTTACTAGTGCCTAGATGCATGTCAAGAAGCAGCAGTTATAACACTTTCAATGGGCCAAAAGAAGTGAGGGGACTGGATCGCAGCACAGCAAGGAAGCAATCTTCCTGTCTAATAATAAGTCGGCTGAGAAAACCATTTGCGATGCACTGCAGGAACTGAAGATTTATAAAATGTCAGCCCTAATTGGTCATTTCATAAATTATGTCACTGATTCATGGCATACGAGAAACATGAAATCAAAATTAAAACCAAATACTTCACCTTCTTTCCCATCAAAGCATTTAATAATGAGGATTTTCCAACATTGGGATGTCCAACACAACCTATGGTTAATACTCCATCTTGAAATTTTTCATGTTCCGTGTACCTATCTTCTGCAGAACTTTTGGCCTAAAAATGAAAAATATTTTTAAAAAAATCACAAAACAGTTTCATATATATTTACTGCTACAAATATATAGCAATTTCAAAAGCACGAACTAATGATAGAGCGTAAATTATGCAAAAGATATTGCATGAACAAGACAAACTAAACTCAGAACTACCAGTTACCAAAATGTTGAAGAGTTGCATCCAATATTGAGAAAGTGGAAAATCGATCAAAATATAATGCAATGATAATTATGAAATTATAGTATTCACATAACGTGTCGTATCAAAAAACTACAGATCCCTATTATATATAAACAGTTTTATTCTTATTTCAAAACACAGAAGAAATATTACAGATACAAGTATATATTTCACTTTGTGTTTTTGCCATGTACTGCATTTTGACAAGGTTTTGTTGTCATCTTCAGTTTCGGATATTTCTAAATTTCCACAATTACAAAATCATTACTTGCTCATTATTAGTTTCTGAATTTCTTTAGTTTTAAAAAAAAAAGGAAAGATACAGAAAAATTAGTTTAAACTTATAGTAATTATACTTTCGCTATTAATTATTAGCAAGTGAGCATGCATTTCAGAAAAATAAACACACACACTATTTACTTTTATTAAAATGTATATCATGTATTGCATA